AATGCAATCATAAGTACCTTAAATTACTTGCCCAGCTCCCTTTACTTTGCTTCTTTATACAATGCAGTCTATAGAGTTCCTTATTTTAATCACTGTCTAAATAAAATATTCAATTCTCTTGCCCCATTGTCCTTCCACTCCACTCATATGGCAAAACTTCAACCCTGGATAAATTCAACCATCTTCTCATGTCTGTACTAAATGTTAATAAACATAAATGTGGGGTCTCTGGCCTTGATTGGGCTCTCCACACCACCTGCTCTCCCCAGTCAGTTTTCTTTCCCATTTTCCATCGTGATTATTTCAAGCTTTTTTCATTCTCTTGCAAATGCTGCTTTTTCTCTTTCTCTCTCACTTTCAGCAGATAACTTTGCTTTCTGCTTCAGAGGACACAGAAACCACCAAGCAAGTCCTTTGATTTCCTCTCAAGTTATAAACCCATTTGGGACTTCCCTGATGGTCCAGTGGTTAAGGATCTGTCTGCTGATGCAGGGGACACAGGTTTGATCCCTGGTCTGGGATGCCGTGGGGCAACTAAGCCCATGGGCCATAACTACTGAAGAGTCGGCACTCTGCAACAAGAGAAACCATGCCAAAGCTGCACATGGCACCAAAACCCAGCGCAGCCAAAAAGAAAAAACCATTTGGATCTCTGTTCATCCTCCCTTTCTTCCTCGTGTTATAGTAGACCTATCTCCTGACTAATGCCAGCCATTTTCTGAGTCCTAAACCTGCCCTTTTGGAGACTTTCCCACCAGTATTCAAACATACATGAATTTCCTCTTAACTTGGTTCCACATTCTCTTCTTTTTCAAACCAGACTTTTGGAAAGTGTTATCTACAGTCACCATTTGCTCATCTCATATGCCCTCCTCAACTCACTCCCATTCACCATCCCATGGTATGTTATCTAGGAAGCAATGTGTTTTCTGCCCTTCATCGGAACTTCTCTTATTAAAGTCTCCAATCACCTTAAGGTTGCTAAATTTAGCAGTCACTTTTTATCCCTTATTTTGTTTGACTCATTGGTAGCATATGATACTCTTGACTACCTCTTTCTTGAAACACTCTTTAACCTGGCTTCTGTAACACACATGCTTTTGACTTTTCTTCTATTTCTCTAGCTATTTTGTCTCAGTTACCTGTTGGAAGTACTTCTTTTGTGCATATAGAGAGGTTTTCCTTAGGTTTCTGCCTTTGAGTGTTTTTATCAAGCAACATATGGGAATATATCCATCATGACTTGTATTACCTATTGATGATCCTCAAATTTGTCTCCAGCCCAGGCCTCCAAACCTATCAGTCAAACTATTTGTTGAAAATCCACACATGGTTGTTCCAAAGACACTTGAAAGTCATTGTCTCAAAAGCTGAACTTCTCTCTTCTCTCTCAAAATTATGTGAATGATTCCATCAAGCCAGAAAATGAAATCTTCCTTAACCTGTCCTCATACTTAAAACTTCTGCCTAGAGGACCTTCTTCCTTACTTCCTATACTCATTAATCCCCGAGTTTCATTGATTCTGCCTCCTCTCAAATTTCATCCACTTTTCTCCATCCTCACAAACATCATTTCAGTAACAGCCTCCTAGTTGGTCTTGCTACTTTTATTCTGGTACCAACCATCTACTCTCCACACAGCAGGGAGAGTGATTTTTCTAAAGCACAAATCTATTTGTGTCTCTGCCATGTTACTGAATCCTGCAGGAGTTTCCTATTGTCCAAATTCCCTAGGGTAGGCATTCATATTCCCTCAGAATCAGATCCCTGACTTCCTCTTCATTCTCATCTCCTTCCTCATTTCCTTTCTACATACTCTATGCTACCGCACCACTGATGTCACTTTTAGTTCCTCAAACAAATCAAGCTTTTTCTTGCAAATGTCATATCTTCCCTGAAAATTATTCTCCCAACTTTTTGCTTTGCCCTTGATTACTCATACTTCAGGACTCAACTTATCAGTTCCCTTTAAGAATATTTTCTGGTTCATTAGCTAGGCCAGAGCCTCTCCTTTGTGCTCCCATCCGAGACTTCCTTGTTTAGTGATTTATATTCCCCTATCAGGCAATATGCACCGTAACTCCTCTGACGATAGGACCTGTGTCTGTCTGTCTTTGTAGCTTCAGCATCCACCTAAAAGTACCTGGCACATGATAGATAAGCAATTTATTGTTGAATGTGATTGTGTAATGGATCTGAGATAAGTGGGGGCTGTGAAGTGGGGCACAGAAGATAAGCAAAAAGGGAAACATTATGAGAAGAGAAGAGAAGAAAACATACGGCAGATAAGTGGACTTCTTACCATCCCAGCAATGGCAAGCAGTTTCAACCTAGCTATGGAAACAAGTGGCAGTAAGAAGTCATTTACAAAGAAGTCCAGTGCCTTTTTCATGGCCAGGTTCTCCACCTCCAAATGAATTAAGGCCACAGTCTTGTTCCCTATGGCAAGTATCTCTGCCAATTATCCCAAATCAGCTGGGTGGATTTTCATCAGCTTTGACTACTGATATCAAATTACACTCTGAGAACAGCATCGAAACATGTATATTACCAAGTGTGAAACAGATCGCCAGTCCAGGTTGGATGCATGAGACAAGTGCTCAGGGCTGGTGCACTGGGATGACCCAGAGGGATGGGATGGGGAGGGAGGTGGGAGGGGGGTTCAGGATGGGGAACACATGTAAATCCATGGTTGATTCATGTCAATATATGACAAAAACCACTACAATATTGTAAAGTAATTAGCCTCCAACTAATAAAAATAAAGGGGAAAAAAAAGACTAAAAAAAAATTACATTCTGGAAAGCATTCAGATTGGCCATTTCATCTCCAATGTTACTTATTCACTCTAAATTACCATCTCTTCATCTGTGGCTAATATCTAGATTAACTTGTCTTTCCTCTCAATTCATCTAATAGAATTACTAGGCCTATATCCCTCAAAAGTCTTGTAACACATTATTTTAGTGCTCAAAACTAGACTTATTTTTCTTACTCCTACAACAGACCTACACATTGTGATCTGGCTTCTTGGCTCTTTGCTCCTGTGACCACTATGATACCTGCTCTCCAACACCTCCGTAGTATCTCATTCTGCTTCTGCAACTAAGGCTCATGATTTTGAATCTTAGAGCTCACTATAGACTTAAAACCAGTTTTTAAGAGGACGTAAAATTCAGGGGCCTGAAACTGGCAAAACAGTCCCTTCTATTCTAGAATAAAGACAAATTTGGCTATATCTAGGCCATATTTTCTCAACTCACTGATAAGGTATCCTTTAGTATGATATATAAGTTAAAATGTCATCTATTTTTCCTTTTGATGATCTAATTCTAGGCTTTTGTCCAGACAAAATTTGATTTCATCTATAGCATTTGTGCCAAAACACAGTAATGCATTTGTCTAAATCTCAAAAGTTTCTGTGCAAGATACTTCTTGATGGGACTTCCCTGGCAGTCTAGTGGTTAAGACTCTGTACTTCCACTGCAGGGGGCCTGGGTTCCATCCCTAGTTGGGAAACAGATTAATGTGGCAGAAAGTGAAGAAGAACTAAAGAGCCTCTTGATGAAAGTGAAAGGAGAGTAAAAAAGTTGGCTTAAAACTCAACATTCAGAAAACTAAGATCATGGCATCCGGTCCCATCACTTCACAGCAAATACATGGGGAAACAATGGAAACAGTGAGAGACTTTATATTTTGGGGCTCCAAAATCACTGCAGATGGTGACTGCATACATGAAATTAAAAGATGTTTGCTCCTTGGAAAAAAAGCTATGACAAACCTAGACAGCATATTAAAAGCAGAGACGTTATTTTACCAACAAAGGTCCAGTCTAGTCAAAGCTATGGCTTTTCCAGTAGTCATGTATGGATGTGACAACTGAACTATAAAGAAAGCTGAGCACAGAAGAATTGATGCTTTTGAACTGTGGTGTTGGAGAAGACTTTTGAGAGTTCCTTGGACTGCAAGGAGATCCAAACTAGTCAATCCTAAAGGAAATCAGCCCTGAATACTCATTGGAAGAACTGATGCTGAAGCTGAAACTCAGATACTTTGGCCACCCGATGCAAAGAACTGACTCGTTGGAAAAGACCCTGATACTGGGAAAGACTGAAGGCAGGAGGAGAAGGGGATGACAGAGGATGAGATGGTTGGATGGCATCACCAACACAATGGAAATGAGTTTGAGTAGGCTCCGGGAGTTGGTGATGGACAGGGAAGCCTGGTGTGCTGCAGTCGATGGGGTTGCAGAGTCGGACACGGCTGAGTGAGTGAACTGAACTGCGCAACCAAATATAAAAGATACATTGGCTGGAAAACTAGAAACACGAGAGTTACAGAGCAAGATTAACAACAGTGAAAAAAAAAAGAAAAAAATTCTCAAAACAATTATCAGATATAATGTTAAATAAAAATAGCAAAAAACAAACCTCTCTGAAAAGTACGGTCTTAATTATGTAAAAAATACATACATATTTGTATTAGTGTTAGTCACTCAGTCATGTCTGACTCTCGGTGATCCCATGGACTGTAGCCCACCAGGCTCCTCTATCCATGGAGTTCTCCAGCCAAGAATACTCAGGTGGGTTGCCACTCCCTTCTCCTGGGGATCTTCCCAACCCAGGGACTGCACCTGGGTCTCCTGCATTGCAGGCAGATTCTTTACAGTCTGAGCCACCAGGGAAGCCCCAAATACATGTATATGTATGGGAAAAAAGACAAGAAAGAAAAAATTAGGAAATTAACATTTTTCCATAGTGGAAATTATAGGTTACTATAAACTCCTTATACTTATCCATGCTTTCCAGATTTTCCAAAAAAGCATATATTTATTTTTAAAAGAAGGAACAAAAGTTTAAAATTGTAATAACATATCAAAAGCCAAGCTTTGGGAATTTTTTGAGCTGATTTTTCCATGCACATCATTTGGAAATGAATATCAAAATTATATAATTATACCCCCCAAATAATTAAGGTGACATGAGATTTTCTCCATTTACCAGAGTTCCTCTTCCTCTTCCTTCAGGCTTTGAATATCTACTCCCAAAACTGGTATTTTAGGCACAAGATCTTTACAGGTATTTTCACTTGTAATTAAATTAGCAGCTGCAGTTTTTTTCCCTACAGTAAAATGATTTAATTGCTCAAATTCTTGTAAAAGCATCAAGACCTGTTAAGTAAAAAGACAAATATTCTATTTTGCAAACTCTTATATGTGACTGTAAAAAAATATGTTAATTTCATTACATGCTTAAATGATTATTAGCTTAAATAACATAAACTGCACCCAAATTGAAGTCTTATTCCAATTTAATACTTTGCAGTTGTTACTTAATCTAACCCATTTTTACCATAGGCATAGGAGTGCATTAAGTCCATGGTTTTTAGAAAAGAGGGTATTTTGGGTCTCTGGGATTAGCTTCCTAGAGTGCTGTTTAGGGTTGTGCTCTTTTAACAAGCAAAAAGATGTGTTACCCTATTAGAGCTTTTGCATTATCATCACATATTTCTGTTCTCAAGTTTAGAGTGTACTTCATTTATTCAAAAGCAGCAATATACTGTTGCAAGAAAACATTAGAAATAATATTAGCATACATGACAGAGAACATAAGTCTTCCAATCAGATTTTACTTGTTTGGAAACATGTGAACATGTAAAGACTCCCAGACTATTGTAGTGATTCTCAGATTTTAGCTAATAAGAGCATCACATAAGGAGTTTAAAAAATGCGGTCTCATATCGCCACTTCACTCCTGACATTCAGGTCAGTGATATGGACTGGGAAATGGGAATGTGCACTTCAAATAAGTCTCCCAGACAATTCTGATTCCAGTGGATGCTTTGAGAGTCACTGCTCTGCTGTGTAGTTTGGCAAAATATTTACTCAGGTTTTGTTGCTTTGTTTTGTTTTTTTGACAAACAGATTCCTTTCCTCAAATGAGTATTTTCACGTAAAATGAAAGAACGCCTCCAGAAGGCAGCAGAAAGGGTGGATGGGGGATAGTTCCAAGCATGGAAGATGAATCTCCATTCAAGTATTGCATGAAGAGAGACAACAACCTTTCTGACTCCCATTCTGAGCCTCTCTGAAAATGCAAAGTTTTTATAGTTATTATTAATATGTTTGATTCTAAGAATACAATCTAAATATCAGTTTAAGTTACTTTAATGAATCTTTTTGATCTTCTTGGCCTTTTCAATTTTCTGAAGAAAAACCACAATGTGTGATATGGGTTATAATCCCATAAAGATATATATATAATATCATATGGATTATAACCTCTCCAGGGGAGAAATTTGGTCTTACACTGGGCCTTAGGAGGTGGGAAGATACAGACAGGTGAAGAAGAGACTATACAGTATTTCAAGCATGATCAATACGGTCAAAGGCATAGTGTGTAACTGAGCAGGGAGTATTTTTGCTCAAGTGAGGAGGATGGTCTTCCTGGAGTAGAGGCTACAAGATGAGGCGCTGAGGAAGTAAGACAAGACTGAGGGGAGGGATCAGATTATGAAGAGACCTGAAAGAGTAATTTTCTTAACGAACTTGTGTAACTTTTGTGAACAGGAAGACAGATTCCAAAATGATATTTAAGTCACTGATTTTTATAGTCATTGTAAAAATTTACACATTACAAATAGTCAATGTTAGTTTCTTAAGAAGTAAAGAAAGTCAAACAGAATTTAGACTTGACATTCTAGCAAAGTGAGGATTGCTGAACGGTTTCTAAAGTGGAAGGTGACCTTGACACTAAGCACTTTCTAGATATTGTGGATTCTCAAATGACCAAGTCATTGGATATTATAAGTGGTCAGCTTTGCTCTTTATCACGAAGAAAGTTAAGTCCACAGGACCCTTCATGGCACAGATGTTGTGGAACAGAAGTAACTCTGTTTCACAGGCTCCTCCCTACTGAAATTTTATCCTGGTGACGTAGCTCAATCTCATAACCATCCATGTCGAAGTACCATAAAGCATTCAGTTGATTATTCCACTTTCTGCTTAAGGCCCTAGAGGAGTGAGGACAGAGCTTAGGCTGAGAAACACCAGGCAACTTGGTACTTGTTCATTATTCCAAGTCTGGTGTCCCTATCTGTAAACTGAGGAAGCTGATACACCCTCTTCTGGCTCTAAAATTCTGTGGCCCAAATAAAACAACAGCCTATAAAACAAGGGCTTTAATAAATACATAAAATACAATTTTTAGTCACTCTTAGCAAGACTCGGAGAAGGCAATGGCACCCCACTCCAGTATTCCTGCCTGGAAAATCCCATTGACGAAGAAGCCTGGTAGGCTGCAGTCCATGGGGTCGCTAAGAGTTGAACACGACTGAGCGACTGTCCTTTCACTTTTCACTTTCATGCATTGGAGAAGGAAACGGCAACCTACTCCAGTGGTCTTGCCTGGAGAATCCCAGGGACGGGGGAGCTTGGTGGGGTCTATGGGGTCGCACAGAGTCAGACACGACTGAAGTGACTTAGCAGCAGCAGCCACAGAAAATAATTAAAGAATCAAAGTTTCAAAACTGAAACTTTTAATAAGTAAAAGTTTGATGGGAAATAGAATACCCATAGTCTCAAAGTGCCTCCCCACAGGTAGTTATTAACTGCAAAGGGAATTGTAATAAATTTATAGTGGAGAAATCCGACAGATAATACCTTACCCAAAGTAAATAGAACAAAAGGACATCCTTTTTTGTTCTGACACAATGCACTGAGAAGGATACAGCATCACTTCTGCAGTATTCTTGCCAAAATTATGTAATCTAAATTATATTGTGAGGAAACATGAGAAATACCCAAACTGAGGGACATTCTTGAAAACAAATGATTTTGTACTCTTTAAAGAGAGCAAAACCATGAACAACAAAGAATGAGGAACTGTTGCAGATTCAGGGAGCTTTAGAAATATGACAGTTAAATGCAATGTACGGTCCTGGATTGGACCTTGAACTAGGGAAAAAAATGTCTTTTGCTATAGAGTGGGAAAATTGGTGAAATTTGAATAAGAGCTGTAGATTACAGTACTATATTAATATTAATTTCCTGATTTTGAGACTTGTACTGTGACAAAAAGATGTCACTATTTTTAGCAAACATATGGAAACATTTGGAGTTAAAGGAGTATTAAGTCTCCAACTCACTCCCAGGTTTCAGGTAAAAAGTGTGTATCTATGTGTGTAGAGCAAGAGTGAGAGAGATTGATAAAACCAAATATGGTACCATGTTAACATTTGGAAGGGTAAAAGTATATGGAGAATCTTTATACTATTTTGCAACTTTTCTATAAATCTGAAATTATTTCAAAATAAAAAAGTTTTTTAAAGAGAGGGAGAGAAAGTCCCATTATCAGGATAGTGATCTGGATCTCTGGCTTTATATTATATTCTTCTCACTTCCTTTCACTCTTTATGTTAGGTTTTCTGATGATACTTTGAGAAACAAGGTCCTTTCGTTGTATACTGTGATGAAAATGCATCTTGCTGACAAGGTCCCACAAACAAAGCTGAGATGTAGGCTGTGCCAACATATTACCCTATTGGCTGGACCTTTCCCTCCGTAGGCCACATGCTATTTGATCTGTGCCCCAGTTCCTCAGCAACTTACTCTGTGATTTCAGAGTAACAATTTCAGATAGGATAAATTAGGCCTTGATTTAGTCATCTACCTCACATGTTGCATTAAAATGTAAATCAACATATTTTAACCATTGTGTTCACGCCTTTAGTCCTTCCTACCATCTTAATCAACATAAGAGAGTAACCGAGGGTGGGAATTTTTAGCCAGGAGTTGGTGATAACCTAACAGGTAGGACTCTGGAAATTACACAGCTGGCAAGCTCTCCGTTTAGTGTTGCACTGACCCTAATCTGGCAGTGCCATTATTATATTTGGGGAATTTGCTGGCGTTGGGACATTTCACCATTTTCCTAATTCTAAGTTCAGTATAATTAGAAAAGATGCTTTCAGTTTTTAAAGTTGAAGACATTTTAGTAAACCTCTGTTTGTTTTTGCTTTTTTTTACTGTGATAAAATATATAAAACAAAATTTACATCTTAACCATTTTTAAGTGTACAGTTCAGTAGTATTAAATATATCCACACTGTTGTGCAACCACTGCCACCATCCAACCCCATAACTCTTTTCATCTTGTAAAACAAACTCTGTACTTATTAAACAACAACTCTCCAATTCTTACCTCCCCACAGATCCTGGTAACCACCATTCTACTTTCTGTCTTTATGATTTTTGACTACTCTAAGTACCTCATGTAAGTGAAATCAAATAATTTTTCTGACTGGCTTATTTCACTTAGCATAATGCCCTCAAGGTTCATCCATGTTGTAGCATGCTGCAGAATTTCCTTCTTTTTAAGGCTGAACAATATTTCATTATATGTATATACCATGTTTTGCTTAATCATTCATTCACAGATGGACACTTGGGTTGCTTCTACATTTTAGCTATTGTGAATAATGCTGCTTTCAATGTGTATGTACAAATATCTGTTTAAGTCTTTCTTTTGCATATTTATCCAGAAGCAGAATTTCTGGGTTATATGACAGTTCTGTTTTTAAGTTCACCTTTTACATTATGTTATGGCTCCCCTGGTGGCTCAGACAGTAAAGAATCCGCCTGCAACGCAGGAGACCTGGGTTTGATCCCCGCGTTGGAAGATCCCCTGGAGGAGGGCGTGGCAACCCACTCCAGTATTCTTGCCTGGAGAATATCACGGACAGAGAAGCCTGGTGGACTACAATCCACGGGATCACAAAGAGTCGGACATGACTGAGCAAATAAGTACAGCACAGCACGTGCTCTAAAAACTAAGCCATTGGGAAGCTTCTTTCAACTAAAAAATTCATAGGTCAATCCTAAAAGTAAAGTCCTGGCTGAAGTCTGAATATTTACTCTGAAATACAGCTTGACTTATAATCCACACCATGTGGCAGTTTGTTCTATAATAATAAAAGAAACTCTGATTTCCAAGTCATCTCTTACTGAAATTAATTTCCTTTTATGCCATCTTCATAAAAGACAGGTCATATATAGAACATTTAAATACTAAATAATTCAATCTCACCTTTGTTTCTAACTCAGAATTCTCTCTTTGTAGCAGGTCATGTGCTATTAACAAATGGTCTCTGTGTTCTGCTGCACCTGGAAGACTTTGAATTTCACGACAAAGGCATGTAAGTTCTGACTTTGATTTTTGCAATTCCTGATTAAGAAATGACAATATTCAATAGAACAAAACAAGGCTTTCCATAGAAAATGTATACTACTGCTAAAAAAGGAATCTTTGAAATGATTCTGACAACTTTAAATATTTTAATTTATCCTCTGGCAGACAAATTTCTTTCTCTATTATAGTTAAAGAAAAGATTCCTTAAGTCAAAAATTAAGCATTCTTTTTCTAAATTTGTCTTTCTCTTTTAATCTTCTTCCTGCTAAAAACAAAAACAAAAACCAAAACCACCCAGAATTTTAACACGAGGAAGCGCAAAGAGCCAAGGCAAGCAAGCCCAAGAGACAGCCCAAGGCTCCTTCTCACAGGGGGCCTATGTCTGGGTAGGGGTCTTCACTCAGAGCCTGGCAGTACAAGCTGGTACAGAATAAGGTAGTTCCAGAAGCTAGCAGCAACTGGCCCAGAGGGGGTTTCTATCTAGGGACAACCCTAACAAGGCCAGGCTGTGTAAGAAGTGGGACTTGTTGGCCTTGTTAAAGAGCTCTTCTCCACAGGCATCAGGGAATTGGGCTCTATAGGGTCTGTAGGAGACCAAGTCTAAGGCCCCAGCTCTGGACTAGGTGCCCAGGCAGTGGAAAGCAGTCCTGAACCAGTCATGGCTATGAAGGGTCATGTGCCATTGGCATTCTTAATATCTATCATTTACAGGTTCAAAGACTGGGCTTCTATTTATCCCCACTTTATACAAGGTGTATAGAGAGAAATTCTTCAGCAATTCCTGCATTAGTTATATTACCTGCTCTAAAATGTATTCTTTTACAGTTACTTTTTTATAGGTCAGGTGCTATGTTGTTTACCCTTAACCTTATGACAACCCCATGAGGTAGGGTTATTGAAACTGAGGCTCAGAGAATGTAAATGATCTGCCTAAATTCACATAGCCAGGAAGTGATAAAGCTGGGATTCAAACTCACTGACTTCAATCACCGCTCTTCACGACAAATTATGCTGTCTTACTTAATGCATATTCAGTGACTTAACTAGGGATTCCTCTAATCCTCTGATTTTTTTCCATATTCATGAGAGAAAATACTTTAGTTAGATGTAGATTTTTGTTAAATTTCTGCATTGATGACATAGAATATGCAGCATTTGATTGGTGGATGACAGGGCCTGAGAGCCAGGCTGTGGTGTAGCTCCCTATAAAGGGAGCAGATAACATAAAATTTACTTCAGGGTGTTTCCCAGGTGGCGCTAGTGGTAAAGAACCTGCCTGCCAATGCAGGAGACATCAGAGAAACAGGTTTGATCCCTGGGTTGGGAAGATCCCCTGGAGAAGGGCATGGCAATCCACTCCAGTGTTCTTGCTGGAAAATCCCATGGACAGAGGAGCCTGGCAAGCTATAGTCCATGGGGTCACAAAGAATCAGACACAACTGAAGCAACTTCGCACAAAGCATGCAATACTTGTTACTATTCCCAAAGGCTTGAGATCAGAAAGGGAGGAAAGTGTTGATGAGGAGAGAAGGTAGGGAGTGGCCATCCAAAACCATAGAAGAGGGCAAGTGCTATCAGTGTCCTACTCATTCCATGGAAAATTCCTACTGGTCATCAGCACGAGGGAGAAAGCAATGGCACCCCACTCCAGTACTCTTGCCTGGAGAATCCCAGGGACAGGGGAGCCTGGTGGGCTGCAGTCCATGGGGTCGCATAGAGTCGGACACGACTGAAGCGACTTAGCAGCAGCATGAGATTTAGGGCACTGTGCCTAGCTCTCACTCACCCTGCAAACTGATTGTCACCATCCTCTGAATTAATGATCTAGACTTCCATGAACTCACTTCCAGGTCTCTCTTCCAAATATAGGCTGGTATGTCTCCTGATAGACCTTTCCAAGATGGTATGACCAGCAGTTAAAAGGAGAGACAAGTCTGGGACTCTACAACCATCATAACAATCAAATCCCTTCTACTTAAAGGACTCTTTTTGGCTAGTGTTGGAACTCAGCCTGGAGAAACAACAGTCACCCTATTATTCCTAATACAAATAATATTCTATAGCTATAGTTTATTTTAAAATAAAAATAAATAATATGAAATCCCTAAATTACAAAAGCAAAAAGAGGAAAATAACATCCTAAATGGCAAAATACCTCACTTTCAACTTCCAAAGCTCTCTGCTCAGCATTAAGATTAGATGTCAACTGCTTTTTTCTTTCTCTCTCTTCTGACAACTCAATTTCAAATATTTCAATTTTTTCTTGGCTCATTTTCAATATCTGCAAAAAGTATTTTAGATAATTAATTCTATATATTCAATACAATAATCGTGTATCTTATACTTTGACAATACTTTTCTGCCCAACTCAATTATAAAGTCATATGGGGAGAGACGAACCTGGCAAAACTAATTCATTGTACCATAGCTCATAAGATGGGTTTTTCTCTCTAAGCCCCTTTTTCTCAGTTGTAAAATGGAACTAATACTTGTCCTACGTACATTATACCCATAACAGTAGGAGTCATCCTTACAATTTCAATATACTAGTTTATTCTAAATACAGTTTTAAAGGGCTCCTTCCTGAATGACTAATCCTGGAAGGTTTTCTATAACCACTGATCACGATTATAGGATGTAAATTTACCATTCTTTTTGCCTACTTTTGGGACTTCTCTCATAGTTCAGTTGGTAAAGAATCTGACTGCAGTGCAGGAAATCAGAGGTTGATCCCTGGGTGGGGAAGATCCCCTGGAAAAGGAAATGGCAAACCACTCCAGTATCCTTGCCTGGAAAGTCCCATGGACAGAGGAGCCTGGTGGGCTGCAGTCCATGGCGTTGCAGAGTCAGGCACAACTCAGCAATTAACACTTCGCCTATTTTCAGTAATTCTTAAGCATCCTTATAGAGTCTGCCTCATCTGTATTACAAAATGTAACTGAAAATGACCTTTTAATTTCTTACATCATTCAAATCTTGTACTTTCACTGTCTCTTGACCTTTCATACTGGTTTCTCATCTGTCTTCCTATCTGATAAGTCAGGCTCCAAGAGGGAAATCTTAATCCAAATAAACCATCAGCTAAAATACATACATATATTTGCTATTTTTTAAAAATGCTGAAAAGATAAGCTACATTTCTTAAGAATCTCTTCCGGAGGCTACAGCCTTGAAAACTCCCCTACCAGCAATTCCATCTTTTATCCAGTCTTGGATCCTTTGGAGAGTTGCTTTAAGATATATTTCAGTCCTTGCTCTGTTTGGCAACTTAACCAAAGGGAACAAGCTCTATTAGAAAAACATGCTACAGAATCCTGATGATTCTGAATTAAACAAGTTGATAATTTACCTTATTTTTTTAACTTTTCTTTTTCATCAAACTTTAAACTTTTTATTTTGTATTGGGGTATAGCCAATTAACAATGTTGTGGTAGCTTCAAGTGAATAGTGAAGGGACTCAGCCATACAGATACATGTATCCATTTCCCCCTAAACCTTCTCCCATCCAGGATGTCACATAACATTGAGCAGAGTCCCATGTACTATACAACAGGTCCTTGGTGGTCATCCATTTTGAGTTTAGCAGTGTGTACGTGACTGTCCCAAATTCCCTAATTATTCCTGGTTAGTGCTGATTGGCCCAGTAATAAAATTAAATGCAAAGGAGGTTTATGAGTATTTAGATATAATTTAGAAACAGGAGACACCAACATTGATATTACTTATTACTATTATTCAGAATTAGGTTTCAACAGAAACTTCAACTTGAACTTTTCAATTCAGAGATAAAAATATTCCTTTGCTAGCCTGAAGAAAGGAAATAATTGATTTGTATCTAATCAAATTTTGGGGAAAGTATTCTGGAGTTTGCTTATATTCCCAAGTTCATAACTTACTGCAAGACTGTATTAACTTAACCTACAGATTAAAAAAATAAATCCATTAGTTTAGTAAAGTTGGTTATCAATAATTTATCTTCCTCATGTTAAATATCAATAAAATAGAAATATTAATAGAAATTCCAGATTGATGAGTTGGGAAAAATGGGGAATGCTACTGGAAAAATGGATGCTGAAACCTAACTGTAGCTTTTACATGTCCTCCTACCTAGCGGTATGGACAAAAGATCTATCAAAGAATCATGCTGACTTCCTAGCAGAAATGCACAAGGATACAGGGAAGAATATATTTTATCCCCAGGTCAGCTTCTCCCTGCTCATCAGCTGCCATCTGCACTGATTAATGTTTCTGTACATCCACACATGACATGCTGATGCATTCAATACTCAAGAGTCTACTTAGCCCTGCCCTTACACCGCCTGAGATGACCGAGTGCAAAGTGCAGAAAATGTTTTCAACTCTTAAAAATGAACACTCCGCCCATTTCTTCTGTGTTTTCTCTATACAAGAATGCCATGTACTTTAATGCTATAACTTCCAAGAGAGAGCTTTTCAAAAGGATATATACTTGAAATTTACCATAATTTGTGGCATACTAAATACAGCCATACATTTAGGTGATTTATGTATTTCATGAGACTGATGATCAAAGTTTAAAGCAGAAAAACACAGGAAAGGGGCCACAATACTGTGAGAAATAAGCAATGGACATAGCGATCCCTAGGCAACTGAAGGGAGCCTGCCTCACCTGTCAGCCAGCAGTAAGCAGAGGAGAACAAACAGACTTCTAGGGGATTGCCTCACTGGCACAGGGTAGCTGCCAACAACTCCGGAGAACAGTGTAACAGCTCAGAATCTCCCACTTGCAGTGTTCTACTATCTGAAGGGTGGGGGCCGTCTGACACTCTGAGCCAAACTGTGCCCCCCAGGCACCGTATGACAAGAGCGACCGCGAGCCTCCACCTCCTCGCCCACCACGTGCTTATGTCATGCTGTCCTCTCTCACGGGCACAGTCAAAGGAGATGGCGGATGCAGGCCCTGCAGAGAAAAAAATGCTGCAGGGTCATCACCTCCAGATAGGGACGTGCTCAGTGCTGGGTGTGCTATAGACCCCGTGAATTATAATATGCTCCCTCTATGAATCCTCACAAGAGTTGGTATGAGGTAGAAAATGGTCTCTAAGGCCAGACAGACCTGGATCAACTCCTGGTTGTGCCTCTTACTTTATCAAGTTCCTCTACTCGAGTGTAAAACAGAACATACCTACTTACCTCGGGGAGGACTGTTATAAGGATTATATACGGTTATGTTAGTAAAACAAGATCACACATATGACAGATGATAAATACATCATGACTACTTTTTATTCCTGCCAGATACCTAGCTTTTCTTCCATTTTAAGCATCTTCTGGGATCTCCCTGGTGGTCCAGTGGCTAAGACTTCATGCTCCCAATGCAGGGGGCCAGGTTTAGTCCCTGGTCAGGGAGCTAGATCCCACATGCTACAAGTAAGAGTTCACATGCTGCAACTAAGCATTTTCTTTGAGAACATGGATACTAGCAGCGCTAAGAATCTGTCTGTGTGTAAAAATGGATAAAGAACATAGTCATATACGGAGGAGTCTGTCTGACTTAAGGGAGTGGTTTTCTAAATTATTTGTCCTTTTGAAGTTACAGGGCTTCCTGCCTTTTATCTTCAGAAGAATTCTTATGGAGAAACTACAGAGTGTCCACAAATGGAGGCGTCTCTGGCTGATGTGGAGGTAGAAGACCTAGAGATTTGCACCTACAAACAACAAGAATCTCTGAAACACAGTTTGGAAATTATAGTGGCCAAAAAAAAAAAAAAAGAGAGAGCTTTGTAGTCAGCTGAAATCTGAAATCTTGACTTCTACATTTGTGCATCTGTGATCTTGGTTTCCTCATCTGTAAAGGAAGGCGAACAATATTTAAGCTCTCCAAAGGCTTGCTAACCTTAAGTGAATTATGTCAACCCCCCCACTCCCAGTGAAGTCACTGAAACATTATAGGTACTCAAATATTAGTTTCTATCCCTTTACTTACTTTGTGTAGGACGCAGAAAATAAAGTCGCTAGAGGTCAGGATAATTGCATAAGACACTGAGTACCTGGCATCTTCCCTGGCAGCTCAGCTGGTAGAGAATCCACCTGCAATGCAGGAGATCCCAGTTCGATTCCTGGGCTGGGAAGATCCCCTGGAGAAGGGAAAGGCTAGCCATCCCAGTATTCTTGCCTGGAGAATTCCATAGACAGAGAAGCCTGCCAGGCTACAGTTAATGGGGTTGCAAAGAGTCAGACACAACAGAGTAACTTTCACTTTCCCAACACCTGTCTGAAAGATGAAGATCCATGACAAGGAAAGCAAGGCACTAGGTCAAAAGGTGGAAATGAGCTCAAGGAAAAGTGCTGTTATTGTCTCCCTACTGATTACAGTACACAGTTCCCTTCATTCCCCTACTGAGAAGGACCCTTGAGTTAATAGTTATTGATATCCATCCAGCTAAACATAATCAAGGAAGCTTGAGGTTTTTTCTTCATGAAAGATTAAGAGAGAACTTTGAAAGCAAAAATCTATTTATAGTTACATCCTCTTTCCTCAGGAAATGACTTTAAAAATCATTTAAGTATAATTGACTACTTATTTCTTAAGTAACTTCTCTAATTTTAGAGACCTTCTACTTTATAGAGAAGAAGCATTTGCTTACAGTGTTCCTCAGTGCCCCTTTCCAGCTGGCTCTGTGTGGGATGAAGTAGGTGAGAGGATCAGTGAGAGTCGATATAAAGTTTCATTATTTTAGAAACCCACACATAATTCAAGCCTTAATGACCAGGAAAAGAAAACTGGTTTCTATCATAGCCTAGACAATTGAGATGAGACAGAAAAAATTTTCCAATACTTTAGGGAGAAAAACTGTATGATCTTCTTTTTGGCACATCTTTTAAAATAAGATAGATTCTTATTTATCCAGAATGTCATAGACAACGTCTATCATAGAGGAAGATAGATTAACCAATTATTCTACAAGGGTCTTCTCTATTGTCAAGAATTCCGTGATACAAAGGGCCACAAGGTATCATAACTCACTTCAAGAAAGAACACGCCGCATTCTTTCCAGGCAGCCTCCAGTGAATGACTGAGCACAGTGAAAATAAGAAAGCCTGGCCATTTCTGGCCAAGTGTGGATCCTCTACATGTTATTACTGTGCCAAAGCCCCCTGGTGGCCTGGGCTAGACTTCTCAGGGCTGCAAGATAGTCAGGCTCTTCTTAACCAATTTTCCTGCTTTTTCTCTTTTCTTGAACAGATGTGAGAACTATATTATGACTCGAAGGTTTTGCCTGTCCATGTCTACTCCTTCCTTTTATCCTTCACAGGTATTACCCCTGTGAAGGACAACTCTTGTAATTCCAAGTTCATCTTGGTGTTGCTTCCTAGAGCAGCCTCCTTCAGGTTGATTTATGAATGACAGAACAAGGGTGGGCCACAAACATGGTCACCATTAAAAACAAAAGAAAAGGATGATTTGATTAAAGACATAGATATAAATATCCAACAAGCTCAGTGAGCTGCAAGACGGATAAACTCAAAGAGACCCACGCTGAGACACAGCAGAATCATACTACTAAAAGACAAAGACAGAAATAATCTTGAAAGCACAGCAAGACAGAAGTGACTCGTCATATACAATGGATCCTTAATGAGATCATCAGATTTCTCATTAGAAGCTTTAGTGACCAGAAGGCAGTGGGCTGACATATTCAAAATGCTGAAAGAAAAAAACCTGTCAACTAAGAATCCCATATCCAGCAAAGCTGTCTTTTCAAGAGTGAGGAAGAAATGAAGACATTCACAGATCAACAAAAGTTGAGAGACTTTGCTACCACTAGACCTGCCCTATGAGAAATCCTAAAGGGACTCATATAGAGTGAAATCAAAGGGTACTAGACAGTCACTCAAAGCCATACGAAAAGATAAAGATCGCAGTAAAGGTAAATATAGGACCAATTATAAAAGCTAGTACTATTGCAACAATAGCTTGCAACTCTACTTTTTGTTTTTTACATGATTTAAAAGATTAATACATCATATTAAAATTACATATGCTATGACACTGATGAAATTTGAAGACATCATGCTAACTGAAGTAAGAAAGTCACAATAAAACAAACACTGTATGATTCCACTTAAATGAGGTACTCAGAGTAGTCAAAACCATAGAGAAAGAAAGTAGAATGGTGGTTGCCAAGGCTGGGAGAGAAGGGCAGAATGAGGAGTGTTAGGGAAATTAAATAAATACTCTTGTTTAGGCTTCAGAGACAAAGCAGGGAAGGCCTCTGACCTTGTTTTAAACCTTTAAACCTTTAAATCTTTTAAAACCTGCTTGGACACTGCCCTGACTAGGAGTGACTGCCTGTTGTGAGTGCAAAACTTGCAGCACCATAGACAAGATGGGGGAAGAATCTTGAGATTGTTGAGCCCCTGAAGGGGGCCTGGCTAACCAAGCCCCAGGCTTCAGTTCAGTTCAGTTCAGTTGCTCAGTCACGTCTGACTCTTTGAGACCGCATGAACTGCAGCACGCCAGGCTTCCCTGTCCATCACCAACTCTTGGAGCTTACTCAAACTCATGTCCATCAAGTCAGTGATGCCATCCAACCATCTCATCCCAGGCTTAGCAACTTCCAAGTTTTACAAAACAAAACAAACAGCATTAACAGGAAACCAGGCTTGCAATGCGGTCACAGACTGATGATGATACCAGTTTGCATCCGTCCTGGGATTATAAGTGGGAACCCTGAACTGCAGTCTCTGAAGTCTCACCCATGGAGCCAGCATGCTGCCTGGGACCCTTTCCCAAGATTCCAGATGTGCTGTGACACAGGACTTCCCAGTGCTGTTTAAGTCTGGATGTTGGTCAAAACCCAATTTGGTGATGTATTCTCTGCTCTTTCTATTTCTCTTTTCTGTTAATGTTACTATGTTGAAAGTAAGCTAGATAATTCTCTAACATATTTCTGTATTATTTATTTGTATATAATGAGTGGCTTATTTTGTTAACAAATCCTTTGAATCTGAGACGAAAGTGAAAACTTTTGGCAAAAAAGGAGTTATTGTTTAATGGGTATAGAGTTTCAGTTTTGCAAGATGAAGAAAGGTCTAGAGGTGGATGGTGGTGAAGACCCTGATGCTGGGAAAGATTGAGGGCAGGAGAAGAAGGGGACGACAGAGGATAAGATGGTTGGATGGCATCACCGACTCAATGGACATGGGTTTAGGTGGACTCTGGGAATTGGTGATGGACAGGGAGGCCTGGCGTGCTGCAGTTCATGGGGTTGCAAAGAGTTGGACATGACTGAGTTACTGAACTGAACTGAACTGAATATCACTGAACTGTACATTTAAAAATCTTTAACAAGGTAAATTTTCTGTTTTATGTACTTTACTACAGTAAAGGAAAAATAGAAAAAAAATAAGTAAAACAAAGACTTTTACAGACAAACAAAATCAGAAAGCTTATCACTATATCTGCACTAGAAGAAATGTTAATCAATGTTCTTTGGGCTGAAGAAGTATGGCACCAGATGGAAATGTGGACCTGTGTAAGGTAATGATGAGCTCAAGAAATGGCCAATGAGCATAAGAAAATATACTCAGTATCATTAGTCAATCAGGAAATGCAAATCAAAATTATACTGAGATATTACTTCATACCCACTAAGATGGCTATAATAAAAGAAACAAAATGTAACAAGTGTTGGTAAGACATGGAGAAACTGGAGCGCTCATACACTGCTGGTGGGAATGTTAGATGGTACAACTGTTTTGGAAAATAGTCTAGCAGTTCTATGAAAAGTTAAATATATAATTAATATATGACACAGCAATTCCACTCCTATGTACATATTGAAGAAAAATGAAAACTTGTTCACACAAAATTTTGTACATGAATGTTCATACCAACATTATTCATCACAAAGTGGAAGACAATCTGACAGTTTCTTATAAAGTTAAACATGCACTTGCTCTGTGATTCAGTAATTCCACTGCTAGGTATTTATCTAAGAGGGAAAAAAAACCAGACTGGTATGTGAATACTAGTAGCAGCTTTTTCATAATAGCTGAAAACAACCTGACTATCTATTAACCAGTGGCTAGATAAACAATGCATCATATATCTATATATACAGGAATATTACTCAGCAGTTTAAAAATGAACTACTTATACAGGAAACAACATGGATAAATCTCAAAAGCATTATTATATTAATAAGTGAAAGAAGCCAAACACAAGAGTATATACTAGATGATTCTATTTATTTAAAATTGTAGAAATGGTATGGTCATAGAAAGTGGCAGAGTGGGAGGCACTGATAGCAAAAGGTGAGGGAACATTTTAGGTTAACGAATATCTTATTTTCTTGATTGCAATG